CACACCTATCTAATTCTCGCAAGTTTCTCCTCACTGAGAACCCCTCAAGATCTTTGAGGTCGAAGTCATCTTCCTGCATAACCTCTTTGACGAGGCGCTGGATCTTGGCTTCAGATTTCCGGTGGCTGCCTGAATTCATCCAGGTAATGAGGCGATATACAGACATGTTGGCAAACGGGTAGGGTGGAGCCAAGACCTGCGCCTGAGAATCAGGTCCTTGAATGACAATCGTGCATGACTTAGCGAGTAATGAGGACAAAATGAATTTATCAGGCTTGAAGGAAGGATGGCGAGGGTATAGGTGGCAGATTCCAAATGAGTTGAACGATGTTTGAAGGGTGTCTCTTAGTGTTAACAGAATGCATTGAATTCTCGATCAGATTGGGAGTGATGAGGCATTAACTTCATGAGCGTCATTGAGATCTTCCGCCAAATGCTCGATATCATTGAAAGGTCTTGGAATCTGTTTCCTAGGAAGTGCAGGTTCACCTGAGATAATCAAATAATCAACGAGCATTACTAGATGGAGATACCTACAAAATATGAACACGGGACATCATGTTCACATCTTTAATCATCTCCAAAGGTGCCAATGCCCTCTGAGTCCATCATAACATCGTTTGGTTCATTTTCGGGGTCCGAGCTAGAGTGCTGCAAATCCTCCGGTCCTGGAACATTGAATAACGCGGGCCCAGGAGTGTGACGGTTACTAGGGTTTGCTAGGGAATTTATAGGGGCAATTGGTCTTGGTTTTCCCTTCACAAACCCAGTGATTCGACTCAGAGTTGCTGGTAAGATTCTTTGTCAACATGAGTTGAGAATTAGTTCAGTCATCTTACATAGTTGACTCGGAAGATTGAAGGGAAAAGTTACACACTTGCGATGATGAACCAGACCTCAGGTTTCCAACTAGATTTGCTGAAGTTGTGTTTCTCGCCCGCTGTAGCCTTTTCTCAGCTGCAAGAACACTAGATTTCCTGAAAAAGTGGCAGCTTGCGCGATGCCTGTTAAGCCCCCGGTTGTCTGTAACTCTCTCCCAAGAGCATCCCAAAGCTCCACAGGATATCATTGAAAAAAACAGGAGTAGTATTCAGAGAGCACCTGAAGGCCGCATAGATTACTCCAAGTAACTTGAGTGGTAATAGTACCAAGTCTTCAAGTACTCTGGTGGTGACACTTTTCGAATTCACACGCGGCTAGTAGTAGTACCGCCTGATTAGGATTATTAAGTATGGGTACATGTCAGCATCAAAAAATTTGGACCGTTATTCAAATAATCTCATCACCGTGACTCATCTGGGGGATAGCCTGACATTATGTACTTCTCTCAGAGGCCTTGTCGAACATACTTTTCTCTCTGCTCTCAACCCTGACATTGCTATGCCACCGAATCGCCGCCTTCCCTGCTGAATATATTTACAAGTTATAGTGGCCACCATCGTGCATCAGTGACAGCGAGCGGGAAGAGCCTATGATGAGCGCAGGGTGGTACATCACAGATATTGATTCAGTGCGTGTCTGAGTTATGCTGCCATTGTCACGATGTGGGCATGACTTGGATGACTCGGGCCTCCTCCATATTGATTTTCAACTCTCCACAAAAATTACCAGACCAACTTGAAGCGGCTGCGCCCAATTGTTCTTCCCAAACCTTGTTTCAGATTTACCAACTGCGCACACGTGAGAGCCTGAGCCTCCCGTAATCACGGCCGAGACTGACACAAGTGAGAATGCCACCACTTCTTGGTACTTCAAGTGCTCCGTCACAGCTACTAATATCATCTCAATTCTGATCATGCAGAACTGAAATTGCTTTCTTTCATGCCCGGTTCCACTACTAGTAGAGTTTGGGTTCCGGAAGCAGTGCTCAAATAAGTATAAATGAAAGCAGTGCTGGTCAGGGCTTTGATGTCGGACCATCTTGCAGGCTTCTATACCAACAAGTACGAAGCACAATGCACCGCCAAAGGCCCAAGGCTGTATGCCATAGCCACATGATCTTTCTGGGTGAGTTCTTCATTTCTGAGTCATAACAGCAAAGTTAAATCAGCGAAGCTCATTAGTACTGCGGTTCAATCAACATCGTCACATCTACGAAGATCAGAATCAGACAAGGATGCCTAGTACCTGGATGAAACCATTACTATCTGGCTTCGTTGATACAAGTGAAGTTGCCGCATAGGTTTTCAACAGATTAGTGCTGTCGGGGTCAGGCGTAAGCGTCATTTTGTAACACTTCTGTGGCTTTGATAGCTTCCTTTTTCAGACTATGATTTTTGAGTAAATGCCAAAAGATGTTACTTAACCCCATTCAGGTTATACCCTGGCTACAGGGGAGCCCAGCCCTGACTCGGAGGGGCTTTGAGTTACTAACTTGTCCTCCCCACCAGTTCATCATGCCCTGGACAACTGAGTCAATGTGTCAGTGAATGATCCCCTTGATTTAGAAGGCGGACCAAGGTAGTGTTGCTCTGCTCAGGTTAGTGAGTGCAGCCTGAGATCATGATGCCTTTGACATCCATGATGGAGTAGTGGGACTTTGATGGGACCGCAAAAAAGTTTCAATGAGCAGACTCGGAAGCTCCCACGAAGTTGTGGTGACTAAAATCAATTTAGTACGTGCCAACTTAAGAAGTCCTCTCGAGTCATCATATTTATCTGTACTATATGCCAGTCATGAGGACTTCTTTCAGAACTTCGTGACGTAGCTATAATAACATGAAAATTCTCCCTTTTCGGTGTCAATGTTCAAACATTCACTGAGTATCTGAGAATATCAATATATATAAGTAGCTACCTGGTTGAAAGTGGGTTTGAAACTCAGTCCCCTCCCTCCTACTGTATTACTATTCATGCATGCAAGCCTGTCTTCCTCGTTCTATCCGAGAGCCTAGTCCTGACTATCAAGGCAGGAAAGGGTGTGGTCTGCGTACTACTGTTTTGAAGCAGGATCCAGCGATTCATTCTGAAACTCCGATTCATTCTAGAACTCTGAGTCGTCAGACAAAACCCATCAAGCCTCCAAGATCACCACCTTCATCTGACACTCCCTATGATTCATCAGATGATGACATAGTTTGCACCAATCAACCCTCCTCCCATACTTCGAGATCTATCTAGCTACGCGAAGCATATAAGACACAGAGCCAAGCCCTACCAGAGAAGTCCCAACATAATAGACCGCCTCTGTGGTGAGGAGTGTGTCGGGTGCGGTGTCCCCCAAGGATTTAGTATCAGATGTTCAAAGGGTATGTTGATCTTTGCGTGTTAGGTTAGTTGTTAATATCATCCCAGGATAAAGCTACCTTGCAATGTAGAATGCAGCACTTGAGTCCTGAGGCCCTCGCTCAAGCTGTGATCACGGTTCAAGCTGATATTGAATGGAGGTGTGTGCGTGCTATTGCAGCAGCTTTGCGCGTCGATGCGGTTCATCAACATTCCAAATTTCTTGACATAACTGTTCAGAGTGAAACTGAAACATACATCAATGCTTCCTCGGAACCATTCAACATTGCGATAGAAGCACTCTCTGGTTGCACTACCAATGAGCTTATCGATCGCAAAAATTGCAGTATTACCGTGTACGAACTTGATGCGACGTCATTCGCTACTGCTGATATGGAGTTTGAACAAGTTCAAAGTTTTGCGTATACGCACTCCCATTTGCCTACAATGTGACTGCTGAGTGATCACTGCAAGCAGCACCTCTTCTTCAATCGGATGATAGCACCACCATTTCGGACGAAGAAAACTTTGAATAATTTTGGGTGTTTGAATAATTCCACTGACCCCTCAGGTATCTTTTTTCGTATGGGGCAATACTTGTACTAATCTCATGTAACAGGCGCTGAGGGACTTGGGCATTTTTCCACCATCCATTCCCTACTGTTGCACACATCGTGGCGCGAAACACCACATCCTCTTGTTTCTAATATTACTTATAGTTTAAAGTTGTACGATGTTCTTGATTTCCTCCATTTCTTGTTGCAATATATATCTTAATTGGCTGTGTTGGAGTGATCCGATGGCCATGGATGACTTCTTGTCAGCTCCAAAGATTTGAATTAGAAACAACGTGCACTTGGCAACCTGATATAAGTGCTACTCTCAGCACTTCCGTGCCTTCTCTGTTGTCGAGAAGGAAATATGTTTATTGTTATATCTATCCAATTATTTAATAGTGCATCAGAACCCATTGTCCCACCGGACAAACAATAAATGATGTTACATTGGCTAACTACGCTACTGATGGCCTAACTCAGGTACTACATATAGAAGTGCCTCGTCAGCTCTTCGAAATAATCATGATCACACCCAATGATTATGAATGTGACATTGGATTAGTAATACGGCAGATTTGCCCGCAGTGCCAAACAAATACTTGCAATGTGCGCTTTGTTGCCCATGTGGCACAGTGGGTGGGAATGAGAGTTATGTAAGAGCCTGCGGTTGAATTATTCGTGTAAAAAATAAACTCGACTTCCTGTGGTTTTTGAAAGTCCGAAATATTCTGTTTTAATTATTTTGCCTGCAGGAAGAGGTCATCCGGCATATATGCATAAGTACTAGCCCGTGTACGTAGTCGAACCGCATGATGAAGTTGTAATGAAGTGGTTGTTGCATTTGTGATTTTGTACAGTCTGTTTTGGGTAGTTACTAGCACCTTGCGAAATTAAACCTTATATCATTCCATAATTTACTGCCTTTGAATCAGGTGGTGTTGTAACGTCTACCCTCTGTCGTTGTTCATCCTCCATATTTTTGTCTCGTTTCCTGGATCCAATTTGACACTCTTGTGGCGACTAAATGAGACCGTTTGGCATGTTACTGCAACTTTTGCTAATTTGAATGCAAGCGTGTCGGCATACACAACCGATCAGATGTCTCGGGATCATTGGGGCAGAAGCCATCCATTGAATAGTCCCTGTCGAGTACAACTTCAGTATGGGAGCTAATTCCACAATGCGGATAACACAACTACAATTCACTTTGATACCAGCATGTGCATTTGGCCACTACTGACTTTAAATCTCGAGGCCAAAGCATCAATTAGTACGTACTATCACAAACTTTGAGTTTATTTGCCATCAATCTGTGCTAACTTTCACGATGATGATCAAGTGACCAGACTCATTACCGGCGGAGTCCCATTTGAAGCTTTGAGTCAATTGGTGAACCACCGCGAGTCTGCACTGATTTCGATTTGAACCAGGATCTGAAACACTTGTGAGTAATAAGCCCAAGGTCTCAGCTGAATTCAATGAACCCTGGCCGTCTTTGCTCATCATCACAGGAATTAATGCTAACTTCATTTCTATCAATCAAATTTAGGGGCCAGCCTCGAGGTAAGTCCAAGCAGCTTCAAACACCTAACTATCTAGTAATCTAGCTATCCATGATAGGATCATATCAGCTGCCAGCATGAATAAGATCAATGCCTAAAAGCGTGACTTGGCACGAGTTTACTGCTGTAATCTTGCAACCATTTTTTCGTCCGTACAAAGGCACTTCATAACCGACTCCCATTTTAACTCAGACTCGGAGTTGCAGCCATCAACTAAATTTGAAGACTCCCTCAAAGTAACGATCGAAAGAGGTGAGGAAAGTCATGTTATGATCATCGTGATCATTGTGGACTAACCATACACAGCCAGAACTTATTCAACGACTCAGAGATGCCTCATTGGAGTAGCAGCTACTCAGGCCACCCTGAGGAGCATTTGCAAAGTCATAGTGATGGTCCAAGTGCCCCATCAAGCTCCTTACCACCGCCTCAACCGTTGCAACGGGACACAGGTTTGCCAGTGAGCAGCATCAGTTACTCTGTTGATAACGGCAGCTACATGCATTTCCAGTCTCAATCAGAGCTGACAGATGGTAGCCAGTGTCAGTATGGCGTTGTAGCGCCCAATACTTCCCATGTGCAAGATACTGTGAGCAGCAGCTTCCCGACTTTGCAGTCACACTTACAGGTTTCTACACACTGTTGCCAACCGCTTGCACCATAACCCTTTCGAGCTAGCGCAGACCAGCCCCAACGAACAACCTCTTTTCCAAATCTCCCTTAATCCAACCCTTTTTCACCCAAGTACAAGTTAAGCAGCTTATGGCTCTCGTGATTCACAGCATGCAGCCACTGGTAGTCACCACCAGCATGAGACTTTTGATATTGGGTCAGCGCCCAATGCGGCTGCCTACCCTAACTGTTGTACTCCGCACTCGCAGGATCCTGCAGGTGGCTTCTACTTAATCCTTCTGCAGTTGGAGCTAAGCTATCCTGGTATTATAGCACCCAATACTTTCCAATTGCAAGATCCCGCGAGTAGCAGCTACCCAACTTTGGCATCACAATTACAGGTTTCTACAGGCAGCACTTTGGTCACCCCATTTCAGGTACCTCTTAGGTTGTATTATACCTATAGAGGTTTTCACCTAGGGGGTACTTTTCAGGTGGTCTGGCCATGTTTGTGTGGTCTTTCCCCAAGTGTATAGGGTCCAAAATGAAATGTATTGAGCACAGTCCAGGGGTCAAAATAATTTTTGCATGGGAAAGACCACGAGCCAACTTTAGACCACACATACATTGGGAATTTCCCATGGTGCAGGGGTGTCAGGGGTCCTATTATGACCCAAAATTTTGGGCAAAAAAAATGGAAAATTGTGGTTTTTTTTTGGTCCTCTCACCCACCTCAGGCAGCACTTCTTGGTGGTAATAAAGGGTCCTGCAGACCTGGTTTCTATATTATGGTGACAGGACCCGACCTCTCTATGGCCTATCAATATATTTCGTCTTTAATGATCCCCAGTGGTGTGAAAAGGAGGATGAGTGTGCAGGGTTTCTGAGTGGATCTGATAGGCAAATCATCAGGGAAGACTAGGGGTGAGCAAGATAATATGGGATATGGATGTGAGGTATCAAGCGTCAAACACAAGGACATAGAATATACATTGAAACCATTTAGAGAGTCACCAAGGGAAAGCCAACATGCTTCTATAAAATAGGATCAGAAAACACAAAATGATCATTCATTCACTGCCCCCCCCCCTCAGCCCAGGATCTCTCCCCTCTGAAAATGATCACACATTTATCTCACACTGATATGTCTATAAAATCGCCTACGCCTACAGAATCATCACTTGGGGATCACACTATTCAGATATTAATCTACCAACACCTGGTCTCAGCTACTCGCCTATGCCTACAGAATCATCACTTGGAGATCGCACTATTCAGATATTAATCCACCAACACCTGGTCTCAGCTACTCGCCTATGCCTACAGAGTCATCACTTGGGGATCGCACTATTCAGATATCAAATTTTAAGCCACTGATGCTGCCCCCATCACCATCCTGTCAGTTCACCTCCCGTCTCCCATTGATGGTTCCACGCTATGGGACATAGTTTTGACCAAGCTCTCCCCCGCTATTCTGTCCATGCTTTGTCCGCACCCAGGTACAACACCTGCCAATGATGATCCCGACCTCTTTTTTAATGATGGCCGCGACTTGTGCTATCTCAGACTGGTCTTTGCCCTCGCAGGAAATTCCAACTGGCACCCCCATTTGTTTAGGGACTGCCACATAGATTGGTGCATTAGCATGATTCCGCAGTACTGCAATGCCAGCTACTACGAGCATCCATTTTTCGTAGCTGGTATCCTCCTCCAAATCACACCTGAATAGACATCAGTTACGTCGCTCGATTCTGTTACTGAGCAGCAGTGGTGGGACATGATGAGAAGCGTGTGGATCTATCCTCGCTATGACATTGACAATGCACGCACTTTCAAGCTTCTTCTTGTCTTTGTGAATTGCACAAAGAAATATATGCAGATTGCTTCGAAATCTGATCTCGAGCAGCTCATTGAAAATGTAGATGAGTTTGTGGAAAGGTTGGAGCAGGACATACGATGGAAGAGGCGACTACACGAGATAGGACAGGAGACACAAGATTTAGAGCAGGGAGAGGGGGTCATCTTTACTGCAAAGGAGTTGAGGACTACAGCCAGCAACATGATGGTGGAGAGCTTTGGTCAGTAATTATTAGTCCCCTAGTCATGGTTTGCATACTGCGTTAGAGTCTTGGAATAGAGAAAGTCACGGGTAGTGTCATGGTATGCATGGAAGTGGGGAGTATCAAGACCTCAATGAAATCAATACTGAATCATCAGCTATCTCTGACTTGGTACACGCTTGTCAAGCGTGAGGAACAATGGGCATGGGATGCAAATATCTGGGAGACCAGAATCGAAGTGTCGACTGGGGCAGGGGAGGTTGTTCCACGGGAACAAAACTAGACAAGGTTCTGCGTTTAGCTAGCCTGGTCACATCCATTCGTCGATATGCACATGAAGACAGATGGGGTGACAGACGCAAACTTATTAAAAACCATTCGTCTGCTTATGACAATCACCTTTTTTTGGCAGAGGTGTAAATCATAGCGCTGAAATTAACAAATTTATCCACCAGAAGTGAATGAGTGTTGTCCTGGTCAGTGCCGTCTATCTCCGTCCCCACACTCCTCGTCATTCTGCCCTTCGAGATCATCAGTTCTCCATAGACCACTTGAGCTTTCCTAGCATAGGGTTCGTAGTCTCAGCCTCGGGTTCCTGAGAAATCCAGGCGATGGGTGGAGCTTCCACATCTGGGATGCAGATGATGTTGGCAAAGGACATGAACTCACCTTCATGAAGTGCGGTTGCCTGTTCAGATTAAACTGCAACACGTAGGCCCTTCAGCAGCCAGCCACTGCAGAGTGATGCGAGAAAGTTGTCGGATGAGCGTTGGTTCTGGAACTGTGGCGAAGGATTCAGTAGTGCGATCGACTAGCATGAGTGATACATACCTCCATAACTACTTTCTCAAGGATGTCCGAGAAATGCAGCGTGATGGAGGTGTCTGGGATGATGTCCGTCAAATTCTCGATACTGCTAGCATGCGGACTCATAGGAATCATGCACGGACACAAATTCCAGGCCCTATAAAGACCACATACTCATCAGTTATGCCACAAAAAAGGTTCATGATAAGTATATGTAGCATCGAGACTGAACAAAATTGGCCAACAGGAACTTGAGGGGAACACTGACGCACTTCAGCAGGCCGCCAGGTGCGTTAACCAGTAGCCTCCATAAGGAACGAATATTTGAATGCACAAAAACAATGTAAATGAGACCTAGATAACACTAGTACTCAATTGTGTTCGAACGTTCAAGCCCAGGGAAAACTGGACATGGCCAAAACGGTTGAGATCGAGCGAGTTTAGAAGCAACCTGAATTTGAAATTAATTCCGTGATTCAGCCCATCAGTTTTTTTTTCCTTCCAGTGGGTTCTCGCAGCTTTCAGAGGATTCGAATCACTTCAATTTCATGATGACGCGATGACGTCCGATCGAAATCTGCTCGTGTGCACTCGGCTGTTAATTGTATCTACTTCCTCACTGCTCCTCAGCTGCAGCACCAAAGATCTTCTGCAAAACATGACACAATTTCAATTCATAGTAGTATGCCCTCAAATTCATGCATTCGGAACATGACAACATCACTATAGGTGAATTCTACACTTGAGAAGCGGTAATGTTAACCATTACTACATCATACTATGCACCTCAGGCAGCACTTCTCGGTGCCTATAAAGGGTCTAAGAGACCCGGTTTCTATGTTATGGGAAACTAGTCTCTGAGACCCACCCTCCCGCCATCTAATAATAGCACATGCTCTTGTATTCCCTCGCGGGCCTCCAGCACCGCCTCTAGAGCCTCTAGGGCCCTCCCACGTAGGCCTTCAGGATATCTCCAAATATTGCTTTCCTTGCATCAGCTTGGTAGTTCTGCAGGTGCGTTTCAATAGGTTTTCTCTAAGTACTACATGATCATATCATTCCCAAGTTCTGAGTACACTAATTGGTATCCTGCGCATCAACCTCTCATACATCCATTGCATCCTCCATTGCGCCCTCTGTCGCATTCTCTTGCACCCTCTTTCTATTCTTAGTCATGATACGACACTCATTTTGCAACTTCTCTGTAGCCTATCGGGCCTCTACAAGACCCAACCTCTCTACCATCTATTAATAGCTAAACCTCTCCAATTTCCTCGAGCCGCTATTGGGAGCCTCCGGGGCCACGGTAGTCTCATGCTTGTTTCACTCTAGGCTCTTCCTACCCTCATGGTCATTGCTTTCTAGGCTTCTTGTAGCCTCAGCTCCCTCCTTTGAGTGGCTTAATACGTATATATTTTCAAGTCTAAGAGATGGTATGTTCTTCTTCTTACTGCCTATGTCCTTCTTGCAGCCACACAGAACACAGCCTACGCGCAATGCTCAACTTGTATCATCTGGGCTTGGCCGCCACTTCGTCAGCCCACAGAGACCTTGAGATAAGAAGAAAACTCAAACAGTCATCAACCTGCCTGGTGCAGATGCAAAATGGCGCCGACTTCTTGCTGCGATGGAAGAATTGATGACCCCGCAACATCAGGCCTCTACATCAAAGCCACCGAGCCCACATGCCCTCCCAATAGCCAACCAACCACCTGATTCTGGGGAGGATATGATCATTCACGATGTCGAAATGCTAGATCTGCTAGTAGAACCAGAACTCGCTCTCAAGCCTGAACAGGAGCAGACCAAACGTCGGATTTTACCTGACAAGTCGGCTGAATCATTATATAGTAGCTGGTCGACTCTAATTCCAACACTCGTTGATGCTCAAATCAAATACTCTACACGAACACACAGCAAACCCTTCCAAAACCCCCATGAAGTCATATCTGCATGTGCCACATCCCAATGTACACCAAAACAGACGTCCCTGATATGCTTATTCTTTGACCATGAGTTCTTGAGAATATGTAGCGATAATTTTTCTAATGGCATCCTTAATATTTACCTCTGTAGATGTGTTAAGCTGCCAATGTTCCTCACTTCCGCAAGTCCTTGTCTATCATGGTCTGTTCCCGACATCGCCGTCACAACCGCGAATGGCCGTTTCCATTGAACTATTGTCTTTCTATTGTGCGCTTTTTGAGTGCTCTTGTGATGCAATCAATGCTCTTGCATCTGCTCTCAAGACACATTATTCCCGCAGGGGCTACCAAATGACAGACGCTAAAGTGAGTTCAATTCCTGCTACGGCAGTAGTGGGTTTTGTTGTGTCATCGTCGAAAAAAACTCATCTTTCAATTTTTGGCAGAGAAATCGATTTCGGTATATATTCGTGGTATTTTATTCGCACGTTTCCGATATTCCGGTGAAGGTTCAACGATACAGCAAGGCACGAACAATGCTCCTGGTTGTATCTATAAATGTTGTAAGGTCGTGTGTTGCCTAGTCTGCTATACTTGAGACGACAAGTGCGTTCGACCCTAAAGGGGAAGCGAGTGCAGCAAGGATCTAGAGGTATGCGCTGAAAGCGCTACTGGTTGGCCAATGCGAAGCGCGAGAAAGCGCAGGTGCGCGCAAGGCGCGGGAATGCGCGCGTGTATGGCGCGAAGCGTGGGAAAGTGT